CGATAGGGATAATGATGAAGACTCTATGTCGGAAAGTGAGTATATGGAAAAATCGAGGCCTGGTAATAAAAAGAAAGGAAGACCCAAAAAACGTGCTAAATCCTCTGATTTTTGTGATGAGGATGCAACCGAGACCGTTGTTACTAGAACAGATTTATTAGAATCAGTTAGTCTTGGTCTGAAAGATGGAGGTTATGGTTTTCATTGGACTAATATATTTCATTTGATACATAATATATAACTATCGTGTAATTAATACTAAGCAATGAATATTATTCTAATCAGGTTATTACGACGATGGTGATCATATATATATATATATATATATATATATATATGTGTGTGGTAATTGTAAGGCTTATATGTGGTATGGAGAAAGGTTGGGTAAACGATATCGTCGTGGGAAGCCTATATTCTCCATGTGTTGTGGTCAGGGTAAAGTCGTTCTTCCACTTCTTAAAACCCCTCCGAATTCGTTATTAGCATTGATGTATAATGATGGTGATTTGCATGATCATTTTCGTGAGTTTATCCGTGCGTATAATATGATGTTTTCTTTCACTTCTCTTGGAGGAAAAATAAATAAAGAAATCAACGACGGGAAAGGTCCTTACATTTTCCAGATGAGTGGGGAGAACTACCATTCTATAGGGGATTTGCTACCACCTCCTGGAAAAAAACCAGCATTTTTACAGCTATATATATATGATACCGCAAATAAAACATCTAACCGAATAGCTGCTTATGGGTATGATTATTATTCTTTTGGTTTATATTTAATTTAATCATTGAGATCAATTTTAAAACATATATGTATTGTTATTAAATGTTATGTGGTTCTAACTGTTATAAGAATTTATTTTTAAAATTTTATAGGAAAACAGGACCGGCTGATAAATTGCGAGAGAAAGTTGTTGAGAAAATAAAAAATATGCTAGATAAACATAACAAACATGTGGATGCATTACGAAACGTTCGAGAAAGGTTTGATCCTAACGATGATACAAGCCGGTTAAGGATAATTTGACAGGAAAAGTGATGGAAGGACTGAGAATCTACCAGCTAATAATGAAGTTGCTGCATTGATACCTAATGATTTCGATGGTCAGGTAGATGCACGTGATATCATCATCGAATTTAAAAAGACTGGGAATCTCAAAAGGATCAGTGAACTACATCATGCGTATCTGCATTTGCAATATCCATTATTGTTTCCTTATGGCGAGGACGGGTTCAGACTTGGTATCGATATTGGTTTTGTAGATACCCAAGGGAGGAAAAGGTTGCATATTACTATGAGAGAGTTTTTTGCTTACCGCATACAAGAGAGGGTTGGCGAGTCACCAATCATCCCTTTATCTGGAAAATTGTTCCAGCAGTTCTTAGTGGATGCGTACACGATGATTGAGACTAATAGACTACGTTTCATATCAATGAATCAGTCTAAAAATTATGACAAGATAAAGAAAACTGTTGATGAAGGTGACACTGATCTTTTTGACAAGGGTAAACGTATTATTATACCTTCTTCTTATACTGGTGGTACAAGGTCTATGGTGCAACATTATCTAGATGCGATGACTACTTGCCAGCATTTTGGTTTTCCGGATCTTTTCACAACCTTTACGTGTAATCTCAAATGGCCAGAGATTACCAGGCACCTAAAAAGGCATAACTTGAAGCAAGAGGATAGGCCAGATATATGTACGCGAGTGTTCAAGATGAAACTAGATGATCTCATGCACATACTCACCAAAGAAAATGTGTTAGGTGTCGTAAAATCCGGTATATTTTATTAAACTAAGTATCTTATTTCATTTAGCAAGATAATGTCCATAACATTGCTAGATGATCATGCTAACTAATCTTTTAAAAACTACAATTTATTCGTTGCAGCGATCTACACGATTGAGTTTCAAAAACGGGGACTACCTCATGCACACATCGTTCTTTTTTTAGAGGCTGGTCACAAGCTACCAACTGGTGATGACATTGATAAGATAATAGGTGCTGAGATTCCTGACAAGGATATTGATCCAGCGCTGTATGAGATAGTAGGAGATGTCAATGGTTGTTGATCTAATGTTATCGTATAAACTTCTAGGGTTGTAGAATACAGGCTCGGGTAAACAATCAGATGATGGAGCATTTTAATCAAATATGCGAAGAAGATCAATGGTTTATGTTGACTTGATTTCTTTTGAATCCTTACAACTGGACTAATATCCAAAGTATTACAAAACACGATTACGTTATTACACTGACACAGGGAACAACGATCTCACCAGCTTTACCATTAACAAATAATTCGTTCTATAATTTTGCATCATTCCTCTCGATTTATGAATTCCCAGATGCTCATTATTATCTAATTGGTAAGAATATTTTGGTATTTTCTTATAATGCAAAATTTATAGTTCGCACTAATGTCTTTATTTTGACTAATTACAATCGCAGATTTGATTGGAGTCGTCGAAGATGCTAGATATTTTACTATTACATACCCGGATGGAACGACTATATCATCAATTCGATTTAATATAATAGATGATGAGTAAATATATCTCAAACTGTATGTTTTTGAAGTTTAACTAACTAATTATTAACTACATTCTTTGTCAAAATATAGGGAGTATATGCTAGAGTGTGTTGCACACGGTGAGTTGGCAACTGAATTAAGAGATAAGTGTAGAGAATACGAAGTTCCCTTTGCTATATGTGTGTTAACGGATAGGTGTGTAGCAATTGACGGGGGTATGTTCTCTGATGATACATCAATATGTTATTTATAAAATCGTTGTATATAACATAACAATATTCCAATATATATGTTTTAGAGAATGTGTCTATCAAGGATCATGATGATGATGGTTGATCTGCTCAATGGTGTGTCCCGTTTTATCACTGATTCACCTATTGATGAAGTTTTAACCTTGCGCAATAGGTAAGTATGTTTCTATGTGTTGTTTAAATTGACTTATGAAAAAAAATATTTTCATATATTTAGATCTATATGATTTTGTTATTGAAATTTCAGGATTAGAGAGAGATTATATGGGCTGGATACAGATGATGTCTAATGGTTTGGGCCGATTAGAAGGATTCAAAATCGATAATCCATATATATTATTAGTTTTGTTAGACATTTTTTTTTGTATTTACAAGGCTGTTTTGCGATTATTAATATATAATAATTTATTCTAATTTGGGTTTAAATTACTCGTTATATATATAATATACATTGTTTTGGTAAATTTACTACTGAAGTATGATTATGTGCTATTGTGAGTTGATTATTTATGAAGGATTGTCATTGGATAAAAATAACATTATTCTAATAAATTGGATTATAAACAATATTAAATATTTTTAATAATGTTCTGTCAAAAAATACCGTGTGTTGGATTATTAAAAAGTATGTCAATAACATATATAACTGATTTGATTCTAAATCTGTTTGATGTAAACGGTTTATTATGTTACACTTAAATTGTATATCATCTGAGCCCAAATTTTTAAACATCTTATGGGCCAAAAAATTCCGTGTTGTAACCAAAATTTGACTCTTCCTTTAACAAATAAATTGTGTTAACCAATAATCTATCTAGAATATTCATCATAAGTTGCAACTTTCCAAAAATGGAGCATTTTTAGTTTAAAAATACATAAAATGCACTGATTCACGCGACACTTTCCATAACTATTATTTGGGTGTTATATATATCCCCATTTCCTCATATACATTGTTAAAAATAAACAACAAAGCAATCCTTCTCCCCAACTGTTTCTTTGGCTTTATAAAAACATTATCCACATGACTACATATAACTTTGTTGATGAGTTACATGCTTGGAGACGAGATTGGAAAATCCGTGTCAAAGTTTTGAAAAGATAGAATGTAAGTGTTATCTAATATGAATATATAACTATTTTGTCTATATTTATTGTTTGTTTGATCTCTTTGTAAATATCATTGTATATAGGGTTGTAGAATTAATGCTTCATGTGGTAATCTCGCTTTTCCATATTTTTACCGTGTTGGGACCGAAGGACGATGGCTTGAATTGTCTAAATTTGGCTTGATACCATCTGAATGGAAGAATGAGGGAAGAACAACGAGACACAATTATCCGATCATTCTCACTACTGGGACAGAAGTCTCAAGTCTACGACCATTGACAATGGATCCCTTCATGAAATTTGTCCCTTTTAGTGAGATATACAGAATTCCTTATGCTCAATTGTATCCTGTTGGTAAGATTAACTTCTAATATTCTTTTCAGTGATTTCATATATAAATTTGTACATCTATAGAAAAAAAATGAATTCCGTTTATGATAAATATTTCTCTCATAATTGATTTGTAGATCTCATTGGAGTGATGGAAAATATTAGCGACATTGAAACAGAAAATAACTCTGATGGAGATATTATTCAGAAAATAACTTTTACCATCACAGATCTCGAGTAAGTTTATATTTTCTTTCACGATCACTATATCTTGGTAACAAAGTTTGTAACTTAAATTGTTCAAACCAAAGAGACATGAAATTGAAATGCATCGCATATGGGGACTTTCCCCGCTGATATCAAAGAAAGAACCAAATGATTCACTGGTTCTTTTGCGGTTTCTGTCTTAACCGATTGGAGTGTAAATAAAAAAAAAGGTATGGATTATCAAGCATATGTCATTATTATTTTCATTTTATGCAATATATGTTTTATATTTGTTTTGCATGTATATTTCCTAATAATAATTTTATACGTGTAGATGAAATAATTATCCATTCACATGAAGCAATTGGTTTTTCCCGTCTTCTCCTTGATCCCACTACGGATGATACCCTGATTTTAAGAGAAAGTAAGTAATCTGAAAATTATAATTGGAGAGTTTTGTATATACAATAATCTTATAGTATGTATATTAGTATGTATATGTCTCTTAAACCTCCAGGATTCGGGAGAGGTGGAGCACGTTTTAAACACAAAACAAAAATATGACTTATAACAATACTTAATAGAGTAGTGTTCTATAGAAACTGATAATACATTCCCACATATGAAACGGAGTCACATATGAATTGGTCATATTGTTATTAGTATGAGTTATCATAACATGCTTCACTGTTAACATTACACTCCCATTGATTCAAATTAGAATCTTCAGAACTACTCCATTTTCTTTTTCCTTTAGCGGGCCGTGATTTACTGGGCTTTACTTGACCCCTGATCTTGATGAGGAGCTTCTGATCCCAAACCGCTTCTCCAATTTCTTTTCCAAGAAAACATAACTTTGAATATTAGTTTATAAGAAATAGAAAACTGAATCGAGATATGAAAGAAGAAGTTTCTCATTATTCCAAACTTACTTGTATTGTGAGATTCGTAATCGTATGGTAATCCAGCGAAGACTGTATTCGAGGATGCAAAGAACAAGAGAATAACTAAAGTTATTAATCGAACCACGTCCATTTTAATATGTGTTTTGTTGGTCTAAACTCTTAAGTTTGTTAAATTTTGTAATGTGTGAAGTCTGGGTATTTATAAGTAGAGAATATGCACTAAGGTTAGGTGAGTCACATCGTTACTTTCAAATTTATATACTAGTTTATAGAAGGCTTATCTTGACTCTTGAGTTTCTTGTATGTATCTGAATTAGTCCAACTTAAGTTTCCTCCTATAATATATATAATACCTCTTGTTGGTAACAAGTTGAATACAAAAAGAACAAGACCCAAAAAAGTTTCAAAAAAAAATTATTTCAACGAATGAATAAACAAAATTTTTATGTCGTCCTTACGACTTATTTGATGTTATGGTTTTAGATTTTTGTTCAATTTGAACAAAAAAATATTAAAAGTAATCAAATTCGTCAAAATCATATATTCTGATAAATGTTTTCACATTAATTTGAGCTCAAAAGATACTTGTAGTTTCTCAGGCAAGTTTTATTTACTTCGTATATATCCATGAAAGTAATTAGCAATATAAATCCATGAGCAGTTCAATTAATGCATTCAAAATTTGTTAATTGGACGTAAAATAAATAACGAGAACATCAATTGGAGTAAAACTTACAGAAATATTTGTAGTAATTTATTATTGACATGCTAACTTTTGGCGTATATGGGCCAATATATTGGTTGGATTTCCCAAGTGCAAGATTAGTGGTATGATGATGTCCTTACAGTCCCATAAGTCTTATGAATTCGTCTGTACTATTTCTGCTACTGTTTAACGAATTGAGTCGTTAGTGAATCTTGCATGGTGCAGGTATAAAATTAGATTAGCCTCCATTTGTCTGCATATGTTTTTGCTTAGCTTATTTGTGCTGCTAGACAATAACCAAATTTCTTATGAATATAAGGGTTCTCTTCACATTCATAGGAAGAACTGTAACAAAGATGCACTCTTGATGAGAGTTTGGTCCTGTATGTGAACATACCTCTTTGTTATATACTGTACTTTTAATTTGCAAAGTCTTTTCTTGTTTTCTTTTTAAACTTTTGGCTATTATGTTTCCTAAATGTGATTTTGATATGTTTCTTTATTGTAAAACACTTTGATGATACTGTGCAGTTTGTATATATGGTGATGTCAATTTGCATTGGGATCTCTGGTTTTCTATGTTTCACACTTCTTGAAAGAGAAACTTTTCAATGCATAAAGAGATATATGTGAATGGACCTAGAAAATAAAAGATAATTTAACTAGAGTAAATTTTATAAGAAATCTGTGTAGCTGTTATTTGTTTCTAGATTAACATCCCACCAGAGGTTTTGTACGTGACTGTGGTGATCATGACTCAGGCCCGCCCCAGATGGATAGGACAGAAGTGCGATGGCTTATGGATGTACAATTTTCATGATAAAACTTTTTAGGTTATTGGATTTATTTTATTGGTCTAAAATTTTTTTTTAGTCTATTTATGGGTCTAAATTTTTTTTATTAAATCTATATATGAATCTAAATTTTTTGAAATTGATGGGCCGGGCCTGTCATGACTGCGGTGAATGCTTGTCTCATCTCGTGTTTTGAGCAGAACATTGTTCGATCTTAAGCATATACATTCGCATCATCACATGTAAACCGATTTAGCTTATTTTGTTACGGCGACTAACCAAAACGTCTTAAAACAGTTTTGTTTGTGGTATGTTGCATATATTAGAGGGTACGGACGTACGGTTGTCTATTACGTACATTCAGTGGCGGAGGCAGCCCACAATTTGAATTGTAGCACTATAATTTATCTCACATAGACAAAGTATAACATTTTAGAAATGGTAGTTATACTATAAATAAGAGTTATTAATAAGTTGTTGATAATTTCTAAAACTAATATAATTTATAAAGGAAGATGCACATTAGTGTTTTTTTTAATAGAAGCAACATATTGATCAGCAAAATATAAATTTCTATTTTTGGATTAAGATATTGTAGCTAAATTGCTTGACTATTTATTTTAAACAATTTAAAACACAGACACCAAATCACCAACTATCAATGTTTGTGATAATAGCACACAAATTTTGTAAATATTAAATTAAGATTAACATTTTTTTTGTATATATAGATTGTAATGTCAACATAATGGAACAGTTTCTAAAAAGAAAATCTCCACCATCTAATATTGAATTGAATGATTTACCATATGATCCAGCAAAGCGAAAAAACATTCAAGATTGAAGCTATGTTTAATTCTTCTTGTTGCGACCGCATCGTCGAAAGGTGTTTTTTTTGCAATGAAAATTGTGAAGATGATGTCGCGTTATACAAATTTTTCTTATTGTGACCCATGTCAATAATTTTTCTGCCTCTGCCACTGCGTACATTCATGAAACGAAATATGACAAGGTATACACATCAAGGGATTCCAATTCATAGAAGGGATATTAAATTTTACAAGTTCTCTATATATATGCATCCACAAACTTACATTTGAAATTCATATTTTTAAATCAACGAAAAAATTGAAAAACCAAGGAATATAGACTTTTTGGCAAAGCTTTAAGAATGCAAAATTGCTTTGAACTTTATTAAGAATCTCTCAAACAAACTTCTACAGACTTGTTTGATCAGATTAACTCGCAGTCAAACTCTTGACCCGATACTGATCGATTCTTATACAACACAAAAACTTACTATCTCTCAAGTTTCAGTGATACAAATTGCTCACACAGAAACCTTTTTGGACTCTCTTATTTTTCTCCTTTTTCGTGTGTAGAGACCTCTTCCCCTCATTCCCTTTTTATACTGTGAACACAGAATCCCTTTACAATCTCTTCTTTCCATTATCAGATATTTTCTTGCCTTCAACAGATATTGTCTTCCTTTGCCCGAGATACACTTCTTGTTCGCACCACGTCATGTTCTCAATTTCACTTCTTTCCTTAATTGTATTTGCTCGATATACGCTCGTCCTTTCGCTTGTTAATCACGCCAAAGCTTGTGCTTTCAATCTCCCCCTTTTTATCTGAATGTGTTCTCTCAAGCTTCAAGCTTCTCCACAACCTGTCAGACAAACATAACACAACCAAGCTTCCAGAATACAACGAGTAAGCTCTCATAAAAATTATTCAATTCCATTAAGGCCAACTTATGGGGAGACACTGTTCGACTTAGAGTAACAACCAGAATTAATCAGTATACTCTAACATAAAGCAAATAAAACACGAAATGAGCTTCAAACAAAAGCTTAGAACAAAAACTTAGAATTAAATAAAACGCCAACGCCTTGGAATTGTAAATAGCTCCCCCTCATATGTAGCCAACTACTCATGCCGTTGATTAACCTGCTCTTCAAATGTGGGCGCCTTGTCATATGCTCCCCCTGCTTGAGAGCACATTCAAATAAAAAAAACATTCACAAGCAAGTACTGGGAGGGACGAGAAGAGATAACTTACCTTGAAGACGAAGTTGTATCTCAGTGATCCAGGCACTCAATTGCTGAAGATCATCCACCAGATTGTGAGATTGAACAGCAGGTGGCCGAGTTGGTGGAGCAAGTACCACAGGGTAAGCAGACTCTTCATCATCAGGAAACCGGAACACAGGACGCTGAAAGCTGAGAACTTGATAGATGAAGTTTGGGAATGGTAATGAACGACTCAAGGAACCCGGAGAACGTGCAGCACTGAGGATTTGGTGAAATACCATGTGACCAAAATGAAATTTTAGTCCTTGAGCCACTCCAGCGAGAAATTTTACCCGATGAGGAGCAAGATTGACAGCATCAGATGTGGGCATCCAGTTGGCAAGACACACCTTGTACAATTGCTTCATTTAAGGCGTGAAAGCAGGAATCTCCAAGTCACCCCATGAGGTGATCCGACCACCAGATAGAATCGCTGAAGTAGAATCAAGTGAAGCATCATCAAGAACTTCAGGAAAGCGAAGCAACGGATCCAAAGAGGCAATTCCCAACATACTGTTTATCATGTTGGGAGAGAACTCAAAATCTGGCGTCGAACATACACATAAGTGATCCCATCTCGACGAATCATGTCATCCAGATTAGCATAGAACTCACAAACCATTTGAAGAACATAGGGCTGAACATCTGTCACCGTATTAAGTAGACCAGCTCTCATGATGACAGCCTCGAGATCACGAACCTGACGACTTCCGACTAGAACAACTAGTTGATCCAGAAAATCACGGCTTGCAAACAAGGCATACCATTGAGAACCTTCGGCAGTGAGGAAACGATGACAGTGCGGACGCTTCAGTGGTATCATCAGTTCAGGATGGGTGCTGTCTTTGTGCAGTTGAATGTGACGATGAGTTTCATAGTGAGAGCTAGCATTCCCTATGTCCACCCGTCGATCTCCAAGTTGCGTGACAGGCACGGCACGAGGAGCAACAATAGAATCAGGCGATTCATCACTTGAGTCAACAGAAATTACCTCGGAAGTCACATGCCCGTAATCGAGATGCCACATGCTGGCTCTGTCATCAAGGGAACGTGCACTGGAGGTCATGGCACGCATCTGAGCCAACTCAGCAAACATCTTTGCGACGGGAGTCTGACGCGAGGACATAACTTATGACTGCACAAAAGAGATGTTAAGAAAAAAAACTTGTAGGGTTAGGTCAACTAAAGACTCTACCAGACGATTCTCTTATACCGACATCTTAATGGGCCAAGGTGATGTGGTAAGCCCTTACCCAGATTCTGCTCATAAAAAAAAATAAACCGCCTCACACATAATAAGGAAGAAGTTAATAAAAAGAAAATTAATATAAGGAAACACACGGTTGTTTAAAAAAATGGAAATCAATTCAACCCCTAAGAACCATCTAACCAAATTGAACCAGAGCAATCATTCTTGCGTGTTCGAGAGCTGTGAGAAACCTCTGACTGGAGAAGAGACACTAGCACACCGAAAAGAACTACTAAAAAGAACGATAAACTACTAAAACAATTGTTGAACAAAAAATAAATTGGAAAAAAAAAATAACGAACACGGTTGTATGTACTCTCAACACAGTGCAACAACGTTGACCCCTTA